TGCTGCGGATTGAACCCGCGTCCTCTGGAAGAGCACCTGTTGCTCTTAAACTCTCCCCAGCCCCTAATAATACTAGTAATAGTAATAATAATAATAGTAATAATAATAATAATAATAATAATAATAATAATAATGTGTTTCTGGCTGTCCTCAAGTCTCCTCCTCTGGTCTTAAGTCTGTGAGTTCCCGTGAGTTCCAATCCTCTCAAGCTAGAATGGATTCTGTTGCTTGCAGTTTCCGACACCCAGAGCTGGGATCAGTGACTTCCGTGAAGAGTGGAGGGACAGTTGGAGTGCAAGAGCAGGAGCCCCCACGGCTTGGAGACCGTGGGCCAGTGTACCCTCCAGATAGGGGCCATGGGGAGGGAGGGTGGGGCCAGATAGAAAGGGATCGTGGGGAGGGCGGAGCCAGCCTGAAACTGCACTTCCGCGCAAGTTTGGATCATGAGAAATCAAGTCTAGACTCTTTTGGGTTTGTCCTCACCTGGCAGTTTTAGATAATTACCTGGCAATTTTAAAGTGAGAGGAGAGACAGGGAAGGAGGTAACTTTAGACGGATGTGGGTCGGTTCTGATCCGTCCTAGGCTGGCGTAGCCAATTTTCATGAGGAAAACGGGATTTTGGGGTGCTTCCTTCTGCAAGGCAGGTGTGTGGGGTGTGCACAGTGCAGGAGGGCCGGCGGAGACAGCATGTGGGGTCATGCTGCTGAGAGGGTCCTCCCTGAGGGTGTGAGGCCTGGGAAGCAAGCCTGGGTTCGCAGTAGCTGAGGACAGAAATGCCGGTAACTTCTGTGAGCTGCGCATAGCTGGAGGAAGGGTTGGGAAGTCACTGTCACCGGGAAGAGCAAACAGTTAAACCAGTGGCTCCCACCCCATGCAGCATACATACGTCCTGCATATCAGACGTTTCCATCGTGATTCCCAACAGTAGCAAAATCACAGTTAGGAAGCAGCAGTGAATAATTTTATGGTTGAGGGTCAGCACAGCATGAGAAACTGTATTAAAGGGTCACAGCGTTAGGAAGGCTGAGAGCCATGGAATGAATAAATGTGTGTGTGTGCGTGTGTGTGCATGAATGCACGTATGTGTGAGCTCCAGGAAGAGTGGAATATGAGTGAGTGACATAAATCCGAATTAGGGGAGGAAGATAATATAAGATTATTGTTCGGTTGGCTGTGCTAGATTAGTGAAGTTGTGTTAGACAGAGATGCTGAAGTGTTGAGGGTGAAGCCATGTCATGCCTGGGATTTGCTGTGAAATTCTCCATGCAAGCCTGAAGATGGTAAGGATCAATGACATAAGCCAAACCACACGTGCGTGCACACACTCGTGCACACACACACACACACACACACACACACACACACACACACACACACCACATACAGAGAAGGACACCCACACACACCCCAGGCCATAGTTCTGTAAAAGGCCCCATTAGCTAAAGCCAGAGTCCTACCGCACACTCAGTTCTGCTTCTCCCAGTCAGTTACAAGGCCTGCTTCCCTGAATGTCTTGTCGGTTACAAGGCCTGCTTCCCTGAATGTCCTAAGTGTTTCTGCTGACATGGCCTTCACGAGGTCTCCTCACCGGCCTTTCACCTCCTGTGCTGCAATGGCTCTAGCCACCCCCTTGCCCCAGCCTTGTGTCCATCAGATGGTTCCTGCAGCCACTGCTGTGGCTGGATGAGCAGATGACACATGCTGGCTTCCTCTGCTGAAGCCCCAGAAACCCGGGTCTGCCCCAGGGTAAATTTCCTGCCCCTGTGTACCAACCCACCACCGGCTGGGGCGGCTTTTAGGTCTTGACAGGCCAAGGACCCAGGCGGACTAGTTCTTCTTAAGCCCCAGCTTACTGCAAGCACAGGAGCCTGTTGGTGGAGGGTTAGGGTAGCCAGCTGCAGTCTTCTGTAGGCATCTGTGGGCAAGACCGGTCCGTACTGCCGCTGCTCTCGCTATAAATGAGCAGAGCAGTCTTTAGGAGGGAGTTCCGCTTGGGGACTTTGCCTTTGAGGTGCTCTTATGAGATAACCCCACCACCCATGGCATCACAGAACACGCTCATGTTTAAAGCTAAAGCAGGACTCCCAGGCTCCAGCCAGACCTCCCCTCCTTAGTCTTTCCCCAGGTCGGTACGAGGCCACCTCAGGCTCAGTTCCTCAGTTGCCTCGCCTCCCAAGTCTACAGCTGACCTCATCTGAAATACCTCCTGGGGATCTGGAGAGACGGCCCAGCGTGAGAGCATCTGCTTCTCTTGCGGAGAACCTGGGTTACATTCCCAGCACCCACGTGGCTCCCAACCTCCTGTAACTCCAGTTCTGGGTGCATATGCATAGCACACGTAAACTCATCTGAGCCAATACACATGCACAAAAATAAAATTAGAAAGCAAAGCAAAAGCAACCTCTTGACCATGAACTTGATCACTTCTTGCTGGTCTGGTCCCCAGCATCTGCTGCTGGGGTGACCAGGTGACCGTGTTTGCCCAGATAGACTTGTTTTAGCGAAGGGTCCTTTAGCACTGAAGCCCCATCCGCCCAGCCATCTGCTGTTTTCTTCTGTCTTGATGGAAAGTCTTGCCTCAGCCTGAGAGGATGACACAGTATTGCTACCATAGAGGCTGAGGGAATAGGCTTGTGTGAGCCCAGGAGTTCGAGACCAGCTTAGGCAGTACTTAAGCCCTGACTCAAAAAAAAATTTTTTTTAACCTTTGCTTGACTATCGAGTATCACCTCCACCTGTTTGAATGTGCAGCATCTGTGGCAGCGTTCACGTTTTCATGCCAGGGTCCTGGTCTGTGCTCCGTGCATGCCCAGTGGCCTTGCCAGCCACACACAGCCACTGTCAGGAATACAAGCTCACGTGAGTACAGAGCTGCCTCCCTTGCCCTAAGCTCTGCAGAAAAGTGAACTCCAGTCAGAAACAGGGAAGTTCACATTGAATTAAAGCTTGGCCACTGGGATTGTTTCACAACCTACTTCATAGCGCTGCAGAGATGGCTAAGTGCACACACGGTTCCCAGACCCTCTGCTGGGTGACACAGAACCACCTGTAACTCCAGCTCCCATGGGTGTCTGGTGTCTCTGGCTTCCATAGCACCATTACTCATATGTGTGTACTCTACACATAATTAAAAGTAATGAAAATACACCTTTATAGAAATAATACTGATAATCAAAGTATATTCATAACATGGTTTATCAGCACATCCTGGAATGCTGTTTGGCTTCACGGGTCACCGAGCAGTTCTAACTCAGGGCTGTGTCTCTCCAGGAGGGATCCTTAAAGACCTCCCGGGGAAGGTTTTAGGGCCTGTAGTCTGTAGGATCTCTCTCTTGCAGCGGTGTAACTTGACAGTGGACTTAGCCATCACTGTGAGCAGACAGCCGGGACCTACACAGCTTGGCTTTTTGGCGGTCCAGTGGAACATCGCTTATGAAGACTGATGGTTGACTTTTAGTATCTTTTTCCTCATGCTGTGAAAGACCATTTATAGAGTAACAACCGTCCAGATGTGGTGGTGTCACCCCAGGAGCCAGGAGCCTGGGGATCGTGGGCTGGCCTGGGCTTCAGAGTACGTTCTGGGCTATCCCAGGGCTCATAGGGAGAGCCTGTCTCAGTTTGGTGAAATACTTTCAGAAAGCTAAAAACCATTCTTTTAGTACATGGGCCTTTTAAGAAGAGGGACGGCCTGAATCTGGCCCAGACCCCATGGTCTTCAGAGCCTGGCCCCTCAGCAGCCATGCTGGAGAACCAGCTGTGATGGTGTTCCGGGTCTGCGGTCTCCATGCGGTGTCGCCAGCCTTGCGTGGCTGCCACCCGCTCAGACTGTGGCCCGTGTGGCTGAGGCACTAATGGCTTAATGCCATTCCGCTTTAACGAGGGTTTGGGTTTGTATTTGAACAGCCCCTGTGGCCAGCTTCTCCCGGGTTGGGCGGCACTGCCCTACACAAGTCTTGTGCTGCAGGAAACATGGATAGAAATGCTTCCTGCCGCATTGCTCAGAGGCAGCGAAAGGCCTGAAATTGTGCCGAATGCAGAATGGAAAGTGGTTTCAGCGACGGTGAACGTTTAAGTGCTTTCTCTACGCCAAGCGAGGCTTTAAGCACTTACACTTCACCCCCTGCCAGGCAGCCCAGAAAATGAGTAAGCCGCAGTCTCGTGTCAGCGGGGACAAGTGAGCTTTAGATCATGAGGCTGCGTCAGAGTCCAAGCACAAAAACTGTTAATACTGTCTTTAAAACCTTAAAGATAAACAAAATGAAGCAGCATTCCCCCCCCCCCCCGGGAAAATGCATGATAAAGCCGCCTAGAAGTTGGGGAATGTGTAATGCTGCAGGCCCCAAAGTGACATCTTCTCTACGCTAGGCACGGGGTGGCCGGCTGGGTCGGCGCTGACGAGGGGACATCTAGCCAACACAGTGGTCATCACCGATGGCTGGGACCCAGCTTCCCCTAGGAGGCATGTCTGCTCTGGCCCCTACGCACAGGGCATCAGTGGGAACAAAGGCTGAAATCCTGCAGCTCCAGCTTTGTCTTCCCCAGTAAATCTAATGAGGGCTTGACTCTAGATAGAAAACTCAGCTTAAAAATAAGAACATAGTTCAGCTGTGGTGGCACACACCTTTTAATCCCTGTTCTCAGGAGGCAGAGGCGGGTGGATCTCTGTGAGTTCCAGGCCAAAAGCAAATACTTAGCTTGACCTATTGATTGCCATCAAAGGAAAAGCCCGGGTGACAGCTGTGGGTGTTGGGAAACCTCAACAGCATGGCATCAGTGTTTCCGCCCAGAGTGTGTTCAATGGCAGAGTGACGTAATAGCTTACGGTGAGTAGGTGGCAGGGGTGGGAGGACCGTGGAGCAGTTCTGGCAGGGCCTACTGAGCGCGCTAAGGACGTGTCACGCTTTTCTAAGTAATGTGTTGCACCTTTGACTGTTTCCTTGTTGTTCCGTCTTCAATCTTTCCTGAATTACTGACATGGGTTTATCTTTTCTCCCTTTAGAGAGTTTTGAGGTGACAGTCACCAAAGAAGGTGATGAAGGGTTCTTTGTCTCCCTCTTATGAATATTAACCCACTAACTTGTTCATAAAATTGGGAATCAGCCATTAAACAGAAGCAACTGCCATGCCGTCCCCTATTTATTCTCCTAGTTTGTTTTTGGTTTTTTGTTTTTTTTTTGTTTTTTTTTTTTAAGTGTATTTATGGAAATTGTTTGTAACCGGACCCTTGGCTAGAAATATCTGGAACTCAGACATCCATTTGAAGCCGGGCTCAGGACCTAGTGTTTTGTGTACTTGGGCTTGCTCAGCACCGTTTTTCTGGACTTGTGGAAGAGGGCGGTCTCACCGCTATGTGAAATACATTTCGTAGCTTCGTGCGTGCGATCAGGACACTAAACTGTTCTGCGCGGCCCCGCTTGGAGCCTTGGGTCTCTCTAAATAGGACAGCTCCACTGTAGCTGAGTTCCCAGGCTGGCGTCCCTGTTAGGTTTGGTAGGGTGAAGCCCGGAACCGAGGAAGCCTACAGACCCCTCCCTGTGACGGTGTTGACAGCCGTTGAAATGGATGCCTGAAAACTTGGTATTTCTACCGCTCTTCTCTAGCTGTTTTGATTCCCTAATTTTAGCCAGGCTCATTGCACAGGAAGACTTGATTCTTTTTTTCCTTGACAGAATATCTGTAATTATGATGCCGACCCACATGCCGCACTTCTCCTCTCAACGCTTAACTGTGCATTTTATCCTCTCTCTGGTCCAAACCCAAAGAGCTGCCCAGCGCTTGGGCGGCCTGGACAGCCTGGCCTTGGCTGTTGCTATGAGACTCCTTTGCCTTCGAGCCATCCTGTGGAATGCCTGTCTCTGTTCTCTCTCTCGTGTCCCTGCATGAATGGATGCAAAGTAAACCAGTTGCTTGGAAAGCCAGAGTCGCTTCTAATAAAGCCCCAGAACTCACCCGCGTTAAAGCACAGTGCCCTCGCTTTGTCCACAGACCCTCCAACCCCCTGGCTGCTCAGTTGTTGTCGTCTATTTTCTCGGGGGGCGGAGGGCAGCACGCAGAAGGTCCACGCGGCAGGCACCCTAACCCGTTCCGCTTTACTCCCTAGGTGAGATTTGTGGCTTTAAAATTCACGGGCAGAATGTCCCCTTTGATGCCGTGGTAGTGGATAAGTCCACGGGTGAGGGAGTAATCCGCTCAAAAGAGAAACTGGACTGCGAACTGCAGAAAGACTACTCGTTCACCATCCAGGCCTATGACTGCGGGAAGGGGCCCGACGGCACAGGCATGAAAAAATCTCACAAGTAAGTGGTCTGGACCGAGCACAGAGAGCCTGCCCAGGAGCTGAGGGTGCAGCTGGGAGTGACAGTCAGGATTTGGGCCCCAGGCTCCCCAGAGAGGCGGAGGAGTTCTGTAGGGTCATAGGCTGTAAGGTCTTTGAGGGCGGGACTCCAGCCTGGGAGTCCCCTTCTGTGTGCAGCTTCTGGGAAGAGCCTGAGAGAAGCAGGTTTGGAAAAAGGAATGAATGGTTTTAGCCCTCCAAGGTACAGAAACTAAAGCCCCACTGGGAACAGCGTCATGTGCCTGTCACCAAGGCGCTGGGAAGGCTGAGGTAGGAGGACCACAAAGTTGAGGACAGCCTGGGTGACATAGCAAGACCCTGTCTTTGGGGGAGGGGGTGGGGTCAGGTACAGACAGACAGACAGACAGACACACACACACACACACACACACACAGGGCCTTCTTCCGGAGGAGAAGGATTTGGTCGTTCTTACCATTTCCTGTAAACCCTGACCCCGTGAGCCAGCGTGCTTGTGGAGGAAGCACACGGGCTTTCTCGGTCCTGTGTGGAGGTGTGGAGACCGCACACCTGCCAGCTGAGAGCTTCGCTCCACGGAAGAGACAGATTCAGATACTAGACTTTTCCCGCTAGCCCCTCAGCACCACGCAGATTTCCCGTGGCTGGGCCCTGGGTCCCTCAACGTGTTGCAAAGGAAAAGGGATGTGTGGGCGCCATGCTGTCACAGGACGTGGTTAGGGCACTCTTAGTAGATGAGCCTGGATTGGTTCACTCGGTGAACATCAGGGCGTGATACACTAGTGAGTAATTTCTCATCTTTTCACACAGTGACATTTTATTTGTTTGAGAAGATTTTGTGTGTGTGCTAGGGACGGAACCCGGGCCTTGTGCGTGTTAGAGAAACACTTTGCTGTGGATCTGTTCTCGCCAAACTCTATATTTTGACCAAAAAAGCCTAGTCAGTAGGTCGCCCTCGAAGGCTGTACATGTCATTTGGAGGCTGGTTGGGTGGTACCCAGCAATGGACCTGGACAGGGGCAGCGAGGGTCCCCTCTGCGCCTCATGTGTGGCTCTCTCCCTGTACCTGGAGCTGCCCGCATCAGCTAGTGCGGCCAGCAGCTTGCGAGATCCCACTTCAGCCTCTGAGCTCTAGGATCACAGATGAGCTCACATTTCTGTGGCTGCTGGGGCTCAGAGCTCCCACCTTCACGCTTGTGTGACAGCGCCTCATCCGCTGAGCCACTGCTCCGCCTCACGATTTGCCACACCGCATATTGTGGAACGTTTCGTGTAGTGGAACCTTTTCTCTATCTCACTCCTTCCGTTGGCTGAACTTCTTCTCTGTAATCACGTATCTTAACTCTGTGACCAGAGAGGAAGTACCAGTTTGATGCATTTACCTGCCCCCCGCTTTGAAAGAAGATCCGTTCTCCTTAGTTACGTCACTAAGTCAGCTGCCTTAATTTTAGCCCAAGTCCTGATTTTAACTTCCCGTGTCCATTTCAAACTAAGAGGAACGTACTTTGGTTTATATTTCAGCTTCCTTGTGGGAAGCTCATGAAACAGTATCAGGAAATTGAGAAATAGGCAGAATTGTTGCCTGTTTGGTAAAAGACAGAGCGGCCCCCCACAGTGGCTTTCCCCCCCTTGTCTAGAGCAACCGTGCACATCCAGGTGAATGACGTCAATGAGTATGCACCCGTGTTCAAGGAGAAGTCGTACAAGGCGTCGGTGGTGGAGGGGAAACAGCACAGCAGCATCCTCAGGGTGGAGGCCGTGGACGCAGACTGCTCCCCTCAGTTCAGCCAGATCTGCAGCTACGAGATTCTCACCCCAGACGTGCCGTTCACTGTGGACAAAGACGGTAAGGCCCGAGGGCCTGAGGTCCCTGAGTGGGGTGGCCTCGAGAGGCCTGCCCCTTCCGGAGGTCAGCTGGTCACGTGGGCTTCCCAGCGCTGGCAGAGCGTTAGCGAGCTTGCAGGCTGCCCGGAGCCCTGCGGCTGCACGTCAGTCAGATCTGTCTGATGTCACTCCCTGGCCTGCCAGCGTCTCTGAAGCCTGGGCTCTTCGGGGCTCTCTTTCTCCTCTCCTACCCAAATCAAGTAAAGGACTCATTCGATGTGAAGCTTCTCTTCCACATGCAACTGAGTGTCTTGTTCCTGTCATTAGACATTTTTTTTTGTTCTCCATTTGATTAGAACCTTTTACACGTGCGCACACACACACACACACACACTCTGCTAATTATCATGTCCAAAGCTTCATGCATACTATGAAAAAGTTTGCCCACTGGGTTACCCCTCCAGCCCCTTCTGCCTCATCTTAAAAGTGAGAGTTTGTTCATGCATCATTCCTTTAAAGAATTATTATTGTTGTTGTTTGAGACAGGTTTCTCTGTGTAGTCCTGGCTGTCCTGAGCTCACCCTGTAGACCAGGCTGGCTTCAGACTCACAGAGACCCACCTGCCTCTGCCCCTCAAGTGCTGGGATTAAAGCGCGTGTGCCTCTACTGCTGCCACCCAGCTAAAGAGTTCTCTTTAGTTACATGTTGCTGTGTGGGTGTTGCCCGTGGGCACAAATGCATATGGAGGCCAGAGGCACTGGCCTGCCGCTCCAGTTGAAGGCCGCTTGCTGTGCGCTGGGAACGGGTCCTCTGGAAGAGCAGGTGCTCTTAGCTGCTGGGCCACCTCTCCAGCTCGCACTCATTTAGCTCTGAGTCAGACTCTTCCTATGTAGCCTAGGCTGGCCTCACATTTGTTATCCTCCTGCCTCAGACTCCTAATTGCTGGGGCTGTAGCTAAGGTGAGGATTTATATCATAGGACTTTGCCAGGACCTTTATTCCTGAGTGATTGACAGAGGTAACACAAGAGCTAGCTTCTTGATGGTAATGCAGTGTCTCTATGACAAGTTAATTGGCAGGGGCTGGAGAGAGGGCTCTCTGGTTAAGAGCACTGGCTGCTCTTCCAGAGGTCCTGAGTTCAAGTCCCAAGAACCACATGGTGGCTCACAACCATCCATAATGTGGTCTGATGCCCTTTTCTGGCATATAGGTGTACATGCAAGTAGAACACTCATACATAAAATAAATAAATCTTTTAAAAAAGGTTAATTCACACTGTGGTGTTTGATAAGATTGTGGGTATGTGAGACTTTGTAGGATCTGGAGAGATGGCTGCATGGTTGATAGCACTTTCTTCTAGGTCCAGGGGAATCCAACACTCTCTTCTGGCATCTAAGGGCACCAGACACATACGTGGTTATATATACAGGCATGCAGTCACATATGCAAAAAAAAAAAAAAAAAAGCATCTGTACTCACATCTAAACAAAAAGCCCTGGCTAGCCTGGAACTCAGAGATCCCCCTGCCTCAGTGCAGCGAGAGTGTGAAAATCTTTTAGAAGAAGTATTTAATGAAGCTTTGCCTCACTGTTAGCATTTACATTTTATCATTTTTTTATTATCACATGCAAAGTATTAAATGTTAATATAAAATCCAGGCCATCAAGGTGGCTCAGGTGAAAGTACCTGACATAAGCCTGACGACCTGATTCCAACTCCCAAAGCCACAGTGTGAGGAGAGAACCAGCTCCTGAAAGTTAGCCTTTGACATCCATACATCCGAGAAAGCACGGGTGCACCCACCCACGCCCCCGTGTGTACCACCCACACACCAAATGAAGTGTTTTTAAAAAGCTGGGTATAAGCTGGGCGCAGTGGCACACTCCTGTGATTGTGAGCCCAGCACTCAGGGAGGCAGAAGCAGGTGGATCTCTGTAAGTTCAAGGCCAGTCTGGTCTGCAAGGTGAGTCCAGGACAGCTAAGGCCACACAGAGAAACCTTGTCTTGCAAAAACAAAACCAGAGCTGGGTGTACTGGTACGTGCCCTTAATTCCAGCTTGAGAGGCAGAGGTAGACAGAGCTCTGTGAGTTCCAGGACAGCCAGAGCTACAGTAAGACTATACTCAAAAAACAAAAAATGTTAATAAATGGATAGCAGAGGGCTGGCTGTAAGATTCGAACCATCCTTGAACACTGGAGCATGGATTCGGTGTGTTCTCCAGCCCTGGCAGGACGGAGAAGTGCTGTGATTTCAGGACTGAGTGTATTTCAGGCCGTGTCCGTCCCCTACGGCACAAGTAAAGATGGTTCTCGTTGCTTCCCTGCTCTGCCAGGTTACATTAAAAACACAGAGAAGCTGAACTACGGCAAGGAGCATCAGTACAAGCTCACAGTCACGGCCTACGACTGCGGGAAGAAGAGAGCCACGGAAGACGTCCTCGTGAAGATCAGCGTGAGGCCCACCTGCAGCCCTGGCTGGCAAGGTGGGCCGTGCTCTCTCTAGCCCCCGACCCATTCTGAAATGCGCACACTGTGAAAACAGAGGTGTGAGCTTTCTGTTTCTCTCCACACCCACCCCTGGGCCAACACAGGCTGGAGCAGCAGGGTTGAATATGAGCCTGGCACGGGGGCTTTGGCTGTCTTCCCGAACATCCACTTGGAGACCTGTGATGAGCCTGTCGCCTCGGTGCAGGCCACGGTGGAGCTGGAGACCAGCCACATAGGGAAAGGCTGCGACCGAGACACCTACTCCGAGAAGGCCCTTCACCGGCTCTGTGGTAAGGAGGTCTGGCGGCCAGAGTGGGCAGTCTTCCGGAAAGGCCTGTTCCTTAGGACCTTAATCCCCCTGTGTTGGTCTGTGAAATGATGAGCAGAACAGACACAGTGTGCTGCCTTGCTGGCCGGTGTCATTCAGGACGGGCATCTGCAAACCCTGTAGTGTCAGTTCAGAGTGCTACGTGTGTCTGAATTGACGAGCCCGTGGTTCCAAGAAAGTAACAAAGCTGGGCGTCACCCGAGGAAGGATGACGCTCAAACAAAGGGCCAGGCTTAGATTGTGCTCTGTGACCCAGCACATAGGACACCTGAGCCCTGTGCCTGAGCTTCTGCCTGGGCCACACAGAGCACGCTGTTCGAAAGGCACCTGCTTTTCCTCCTGTGGGAGGCTCCAAGTTCGATCCCATCAGAAGGAGGACACACAGTTCACCCTGACGGCACATGCTCACACTTGTAAAATCCTTTCTTTATTCTTTTTTAAATTCGATTTATTTATTCTACGTGTGTGTTGCTTGTGTCCCGTGTGTTCATGTGGAAATCAGGGGACATACATATGTGTGTGTGTGTGTGTCTGTCTGTCTGTGTGGCGCATTTGCCAAGGTGTTCATGTGAAGGTCAGAGGACATGGTATGGTAGTCAGTTTTCTCCTTCCAGCATCCGAGTTCTGGGGATTGAGCGCAGGTTGCCCGTGTTGGTGGAAGTGTTTTCGGGCGTGCCTTGCCGCCTCCTCTCCCCTGTTCTTTGGCACAGTAACTCCAGTTGTAGACGTTTATCTAAGATCAGAACCGCCACACACAGATGCTCCCTGAGGAACGGTGCGTGGCTGGAAGGAATTTGGGACAGCCGGGTCTGCCAGAGAGAGGCCTTAGTAGAGGGCACCGTGCTGTGCGCAGTGAGGTGCCGGCTAGAGGACAGCGAGAACACGTGCCTGCGTTGCAGACACAGCCGCACTCCAGTTCAGCTAAGCAGTGCTGCGTGGGCCGGAGATGCTCGGTGTTCTCCTGCAGAGCGTCCGGGTTCTGTTCCCAGCGCCTACCCGGCAGCTCTCGACTGTGACGCCAGTTCAGGTGGTACTCTCTGCCAACCCCCCGGGGCGTGAGGCGTGCAAGTGATGTGCAGACACACACGGAAAAAGCCGCTGGTGCCCAGAAAGTCCGACATAAACAACGTGGTGCGCTAGGGAGGTGGCTCAGCCGGTAAAGCACTTGCTGCGCACGTGCGGGGCCAGAGCTCCCCAGCACCCACCGAATTGCCAGATGGGTGTGGCAGGAGACAGGTGACCCGCGGAGCAAGCCATTGAGTCATCCTGTAGGTAGCTCTGGCTTTGACTGAGAGACCGGACCTCATTGGGTAAAGAAGAAGGAGAGTAATTGAGGACGGTTCCTCTAGATGTGTGCACACACATCACGAGTGCACACGCCCCTAACACGGAAGTGTGGAAGGACCCTAAAAAAGGACCGGAAGTGCTTATACTCATATTAGGTGGGAGCAAAGTAAGTTTGTTGTTGTTTGCTTGTTTTGAGACAGGGTCTCCCTACATAGCCCAGGCCAGCTGGAGCTCACTGTGTAGAACAGGCTAACTTTGAACTCACAAAGATCCGCCTGCCTTTTCCACTGCCTCTCCAGTGCCAGGATTAAAGGCTTGTGCAGCATGCCTGGCTGTGTTTTATCTTCTTTCTTCTTCTTTTTACAACAAGAATCCGCTGTGTATGTGTGTGTTTGAATATGTTGTTTTTGTTTTTCTCACTTTATAGCCAAAAATCCACTTGTAGCTTAGGTAGGCTTTGAACTTGGCAATCCTCCTGCCTCTGCCTCCTAAGTGCAGGGATTACTGACGTGTTTACATTTTTATTATGAAAAAAAAATCCCTTATTTTTCAGGAAGAGCAAAGTCAGGCCAGCAAGCATTCTAATCCTCAGCTGAGAGCCACCGTGAGCGGGGCCCCTCCCTGGAACTGACACTCCTGTTACTGGTTCTAGGGGCTGCTGCTGGCACCGCGGAGCTGCTCCCTTCCCCCAGTAGCTCCTTGAACTGGACTGCTGGCCTCCCCACCGACAACGGCCACGACAGCGACCAGGTCTTCGAGTTCAATGGCACGCAGGCAGTGAGGATCCCAGACGGCATTGTGTCCCTTGACCCTAAAGAGCCTTTTACAATCTCTGTGTGGATGCGTCATGGGCCTTTTGGCCGAAAGAAGGAGACGATTCTGTGCAGTTCAGACAAGACAGGTTTGTTGTGTCCCTGGACTGCTGGTGTCCTTCAGAGACCCTCACAGGGACTAGTTCTCCTCTACTGCTCCCTATTTCATGCTGTGGACACTTTGTCCTCTAGAGAGGCGGCACCAGCCTGGGGAATTTATTAGTTTTACTCAGTGGATTATCATGAGTTCCCAGGAAAACTCCTGTGTGTGTGTTTCTAAACCCTGTCTTGGCCCAGCTGGAGGGTTCATTTATGCAGATAAAGCGCATCTTTAAATCCATTAAGGAAACAGACTTCACTGTCCTCTCGGGCCTGAAGCTGGCAATTTACCCACAGACATTCTCTTTGCAGACATGAACCGACACCACTATTCGCTTTATGTCCACGGGTGCAGACTCATTTTCCTCCTCCGTCAGGACCCATCTGAAGAGAAGAAATACAGGCCTGCGGAGTTCCACTGGAAGTTGAACCAGGTGAGTAAACAGAAACCTGGCCATGCATCACCTCCGGGCTGTTGCAGCCGGAGGAACATTGTGGTTGTGGTGCTCACAGGATAGCAAACCAGACCACTTAACTCCTTCCCTTCGCTTTTTCCTCTCCCATCTCCCATCTCCTCCCTCCTCTCATCTCCCTCCCCTCTCCCTCCCCTCCTTTCTGACAGGGACTCATGTAGCCCAGGTTGGCCTCAGACTCACTGTGAAGCCAGTGGTGACCTTGAATTTCTGGTCTTCCTGCCTCTACTTCCCAGCAGCCAGACACCACGGTGTGATTTTCTGTGGTTCTGGGGTTTGATCCAAGGCCTTCTGGGAGGGTCTCTACCTTCTGGACCACACCTCAGCCTGTATGTGCCTACAGTGCAGCAGAGAACACATCCCTGCCGTGTCATTTGCCTTCCCCTGAGATTGGTGATACTTACTGTTTTGGCCCAAAAATGAATGACTAGTACTCAGGGGCAGGAGCAGATGGATGGCTGAGTCCCAGTCCAGATCCAGGACAGTCAGGGCAACATAGTGAAACCCTGCCTCACAAAAGGGGAAAGGGGGGTAGCTAGTTGACAGCCTGACCCAGTTTTAGGAGGTACATGTCCATCTGCTTTGAGTGAAACTGTGCTGCCATGCCAGTGGTGAGGAATCGCAGCCCCTTGCTATGGCCTGCGGTGATGATGCTGGTCTGAGATGCAGATGGTGAGATCTTCCTACCCCTTTCCGGCCGCATGTTTGCGGAATACTTTCTTGTTGGGTATTTTTAAATCCTTTTCTTTTTAGGAAGTCGTTTCTTGTACATGACTCATTCTCCATGTCCTGCTGGTGCTCGGGGTTCTTTGGTTGAGCAGCTGGTGACATGGCATTCTTCCTCTGCCTTGGCTAGGTCTGTGATGAGGACTGGCACCACTTTGTCCTCAATGTGGAATTCCCAAGCGTGACTCTGTATGTGGACGGCGTTTCTCATGAGCCCTTCTCTGTGACGGAGGACTACCCGCTTCATCCAGCCAAAATAGAGACTCAGCTAGTGGTTGGAGCTTGCTGGCAAGGTAACAGTCGCTGGCCTCCCGCCGCCCAGCCCGGGAACTAAATAACATCTCCTCACTGTTTCAGCACTGTATCAGGGCTCAGAGTGGCTAATCTCTACCCAGATGTCCTTTATCTCTGTGTAGCCTTTTAGGGGAGGCTACACAGGGTGTGTGGACAACAGCCTGCCATCACCTTTCCTGAGCCTGAGAGCAGTGACAGCACAGAGGGAAACTAGCATACAAATCAATCTGTTTATTTTATTTTATTTATGTTTTGGTTTTTAGTTTTTCGAGAACAGGGTTTCTCTGTGTAGCCTTGGCTGTCCTGGACTTGCTTTGTAAACCACACTGGCCTTGAGCTCACAGAGATCCTCCTGCCTCTGCCTCCCCTGGTGCTGGGATTACAGTCATGCGCCCCCACACCTGGCAATCAATCTGCTTATTGATTATTGGTGTCTGCAAAGCCAGAGGCAAGAGTGAACCATAGCCACAAAAAGGCAAAGGACAAAGAAGTGTCCAGCCTGTAGGCCTCGTCCTTAGTTCTTAGTCCTTGACAGCTTGCTAGGAACCTGGTGAGTGAGGGGACGTTTGGGGAGGACTCTTGAAGCTCTGTTCAAGCAGTGATCCCTGCGGCCAGAGCAGCGCCACCATGTGTTTGCTGGGCAGCAGGCTGTCCGCCGCTTCCGCCTACCCACTGTCTCAGGGGAGGAGCAAGCCCAGCATCATCCAGGTGGTTAACACAGAGCTGGGATTTGAACCTAAAAAGCCAGTGCACATACATGGAGCCCATGCTGTGACTCCCCAGAGTAGGTCTGACCATTCCCCAAGAGGTGTAGCCTTCCTGGTTTGAACCCCTAAAACAATTCATTGGTTATTTGTGGGATCTTAGGTAGCCAATTAAGTTGAAATAGTGGCCAGCGTACAGGACTGACTCCGTGGACTTGTGTAGTGATGCCCACGGTGCCCGTTACCAGGCAAGAAACAGCTTTCGGCAGGGCAGAAAGAGTGTAATTTGAAGGTGGTGAAGGGCTTTGAGACGGTCTGCGGCTCCCTGCTCTGCTGTGCGATGATACCAGACACCATGATTCTGCTGGTGCCGGGGTCACAGGTGCCACCCGTGTGGCTGGGTTTATAGCCAAAGGAAGTAAGTTAGTAGAAATGAGCATTAACTGTTCTTGTCCAAGTTCCAGAGCTATGAGTCTGCTCCAAGGGTCACGCACCCTCCTTTGACTCATGTACCCCACAGCCTCTTCCATTTCCAGGCACAGCACTGTCACCTCGTGTTAGGAGACGAGAGTTTAGATACTTTTCTCCCCATGTGATAGTACCTTTACTTTACTTAGAAGAGTATAAACGAATCTGATTCCCAAGACAAGTTTGTGTACTTTAGGAGAATTTGAATTTCATAGTTTTTGTCTAATTTTTTCAGATACAGAGGAGTAAGATAGCACACTGAGGTGAACCTCTTCAGCCTGTTGGTTTGTACAACTGTCTGTTGGTTTGTACAACTACCAGTGAGAAAATGAGATGTGAAGCTCGAAGCCTGAGCTGCAAGGGAGGCAGGATCTCGGCTGGTGCCTGGCGTCTGGGGCTTAAATTCAAATGTGCCATAAGAAAAAACACAAGCATAAGCCTGAATGAAACTTCTGTTTCGTTGTTTTGGCTAAATAGGCCACCCTGTGCTGTCTGTCCTGCATCCTGTGATCACAGTATCACTGCCGGCAAATAGAAAATGCTTTTCTCTTTTCTCTTTGGACTTCAACTGTCTCAGCTTTTGCAACCTGACAGCAATTTCCACACCAAACCAACACAAAAATCTTTTTTTTTTTTTCTAATTTAAAAAAAGTTGTGTTATGGTATTTTTGCCTGTATGTACTTGCATGCTTGGTGCCTGTGGAGGCCAGAAGATGTCAGATGCCCTGGAACCAGAGTTATGGGTGGTTGTGAGCCACTGTGGGAGCTGGGAATTGAACCCGGATCTTTTGGAAGCACAGCTCATGCTCTTAACCACTGATCCATCTCTCCAGCCTCTACCAGCACAAGTTGTTTAAAGTTCACTTCACATGGAGGAAGCTGACCTTTGCCCTTCAGTGACTGTGAAACCCCCCTCCCTGCTGGTTCACACTGGGGAGGATGGGTCATCGGCGGCGGCAGCACCTCTGTGTCAGATCGCAGTGGGTGGTCGGCAGGCGGGGGTGGAGGCAGGCCTGGCCTCACCCCAGGTAGCACCACCCTTGTTGCATGGAGGCACTTAAGCAGACCATGGTGGCCAGTGTTACCACACAGTTGCAGAGGGGGCATTTCCTCCGCAAGGCAGTAGAGAAGATGTGCATTCTGTGCTCTGCCATGGGTGTGTCCACCAGCAGGGCTTTGGGTTCTGAACCCGGCTGGGCAGCTGTAGAGTGGCTGGTGAGCACCCAGGCCTGCTGTGGGCTGTTTTCTGCATGAGAGCCTTAGCCAGGCAGCCTCTCTCTTAACATCTTTTCTCTATCATTTAAAATCCAGAAAGTACAGACTCACATGTTTAATGTACCACACTCCGGACCCTAGTACAAACCCTCCTGGTTTGTCTGTGCCTTCTGCTTCCCTGTCTGGAGGGAAGAAGATATCGTTCGGTCCAGGAGATGAATGTTTATTTACGTCTGCTCCAGCACCATTCCCGGCCAGACCTCCTTGGGAATGCGTTGTAACGTGGGCTAGATGATTAACGAATTCTGTGTGCCTGCTTTTCTTTGTCTTTCTTTGAACTGATAATGTGTTCAGGCAAGAATAGGTGATATGGGTATAAAAGAAAAACCACAAATGAAGCACTGGAAGGGGCGAATCTGGGAAAGGTCATGACGTGCAGGCTTGTATCTGGGTGAACCGTCCCAGACGCCAAGAAGGGACTTTGTTCTCTGTGGCCCGTGTTCAGCCGTCCCAGCACTTGGCTTTTGAGGTCTAGTGTGAAGGCCCTAACCTGTCGGTCCTTTCTGCTCTCTGTCTTGCCTTTCCAGAGTATTCAGGAGCCGAAAGTGGCAATGAGACTGAGCCTGTGCCTATGGCCTCTGCAGGTTGCTGGATTCCCCACCCCCACCCCACACGCCCCATTTCACTATCGTGTTTCCTTTAAAGATGAGGCATTGATTCATTCCACAAGTCGCATGACATGAGCCAGTTGCATTTTGATCCTGGAAACCATTTCAGCTGCTTGCCTGCATCGAGCTTCCCCATTGCTCCTGGGACTTCCTTTCCTGCCCCGTCAGCCCTGTGAAAGGGGCACAGACCCCCCCCCCCCCATGTGCTGCATTTGTAAGGGTTTTAGTACCTCCAGTTCCCCAGACCCACTGCACGAGGCTCCCACTGAAATACCTCAGGCAGGGTTTGGGAGGCCCCTTCATGGTGGTAGCTGAGCCACAAGACAGGAAAAGTAGCTTCTACACTTTCTGTCCTGATGGATACTAAATTCTAAACAGAAATAGCCATCCCGTGACCCGTCATACCAGGGCCCTGTCCTTCGTTAAGTGAAGGCAAGCTGTAGTTCATGGCTCTTTATGGCGGTCTGCGGGGGCCATCCTCTTCCCTGCCTGTTATCCTCGTAGACACAACTCAACAGAAGGGCTCCCTGAGAGCCAGGATGGCTCAGCATCTCTGACACCCACAAACACGTCAAGTGAACCTGGCAGCCAACCTGTAATCCTAGCGATTGGAAGGCAGAGATGGGGAGTCCCTGAGCAAGCTGGCTAGTTAGACTAGCTCTACGGGCAAGCTCCGAGTTCACCAAGAGGCCTGCCTCAGTGAATAAGGTAGAGAGCAATGGAGGAAGAGTCCCAGAGTCAGTTACAGGTCTACCCCACACGTGCACACACATACCCAACATACGAACATGACACACATATTCATACAAGTGGGTAATGCACACACACACACACACACACACACACACATACATGCACAAACCGCCCTAGAAGACGTGGAAGGCTTTTTTAGAGACGAAGTGTCGCAGAGTTCCTGCCGTGCCATGACCCAGTCTATCTCCCCCTCCCTGTTCCTGTGTCCTCAGTCAGGGAAAGCGCCCCACAGTGTGCTCAGCCAAGCAGGTGGTAGAGGCTGAACAGGCAGTGTCTGCACCTTGGTGATGGTACTGCCTTGGCCACCACCATCAGGGAGTGGCCAGCCGTGTAAGGACTCCCGAGGGCCCCTCCCCCAAGCTCCTCTCTCCTTCAGGCCATGTGCATGATCATGAACAACCTAATTTTTCATTGCGCTTCCATGATTGCAAGGCTAACAGGGTGTGGTCTGAACTAACTTGCATGTCCATCCGTCTGGCCGCCACCACCGGTAACACAGCCATGGGAGGTAGCCAGGAGCCTGTCGGCCTCAAGCCTGACTCCTCACTTCTCCATCCCTAAGGTGGTGACCTGCACATGACACAGTTCTTCCGAGGTAACCTGGCTGGCCTCACGGTCCGCGCTGGGAGGGTGGCGGAGAAGAAGGTGATTGACTGTCTGTACACCTGCAAGGAGGGGCTGGAGCTGCAGGCCCCCGAAGATGGCAGCAGAGGCGTGCAGGTAGGAGCCCACGGGCCTCCCTCCCAGCCTCGCCCGCCAGGAGTGGGTCCCTGCAGGGCAAGGCAGAGGTGGGTGAAGGGCTTTCATCTGTGAGGGTCTCGCTCGTGAGGACTCGGGAGCTTCTCAGGAGTCAGCCCCGGCTGACCCCTCCTCCGGCTTTGGCTCCTCTCAGTTGGGACAGTGTTCCCCTCCCCTCTCTGCTCTGGTGATTTCAGATCCAAGCAAGCTCCAGCCGGGCAGTATTGACCTTGGAGGGAGACGAGGTTGGGGAGCTGGATAAGGCCATGCAGCACGTTTCCTACCTGAACTCTCGGCAGTTCCCCACACCGGGCATCCGCAGGCTCAAGATCACCAGCACGGTCAAGTACGTAGCCATGAGTGTATTTCCACTCACGGACATGGGGGCAGGAAGTGTGTGCGCGCCTGGAGATTTTTAAGCCTCTTTGCCTCCCCTTCTCAGGGAAGGTGAGCCTCACTTGATAAATTTCGTCTGACCACAGTGTGAAGTGCATTCCTGGACTGGCCGCCCTCTGTCCCTCTGGCAGCCCTCAAAGCCTTCAGCCTTCTCTCCCCCGTCTTCCTCTTCTCCGACAGGTGTTTTAATGAGGCAGCTTGCATCGAGGTGCCCCCAGTTGAAGGGTACGTGATGGTTCTGCAGCCGGAAGAACCCAAGATCAGCCTGAGTGGGGTCCACCACTTTGCCCGGGCAGCTTCCGAGTTCGAGAGCCCAGAGGGCGTTTCCCTTTTCCCTGAGCTTCGAATCATCAGCACCATCACCAGAGAAGTGGAGCCTGAGGGGGATGGGGCCGAGGACCCCACAGGTAACGGCCGTGCCTGGGCTTGCCTCCTTTGCCTTGACTACCTGCCCTCTTGGGCCCTTTTTCTGTCATGTTTTGGAGGTTTTAATGTTTCAGTACTTGAGTCTGTTTCTGGAACTAAGCTGAAGCTGAAGCTTTTTTGGTCAGACATCAGGTTTTAAGATGTAGCTTGAGGGCTAGCCCACAGGAAGACTGTCCCCCTCATACCCATTAATCACTAAGTGCTATTTATTGACTGAGCTGATTCTGGGCCTAGGACCTGGGCCTTCAGTATGCTAATTATGTACTTCAGCACTGCCTACGCTCCCAGCCCCCAAGTCTCCAAGGGGACTCTTCCCTGCTTCTGTCTATGAGGGGGTTGGGGTTGGGGTTGACTGACAGAGCCACCCATATCCTCTGCTGCTTCTGGTCGGCTATTTCTGCAGTGCAAGAGTCCCTGGTGTCGGAGGAAATTGTGCATGACCTGGACACGTGTGAGGTCACCGTGGAAGGGGAGGAGCTGAACCCCGAGCAGGAGAGCCTGGAGGTGGATGTGGCCCGCCTCCAGCAGAAGGGCATCGAAGTGAGCCACTCTGACCTGGGCGTGGTCTTTACAGGTGAGGGTGGGAGCAGAGGAGGCAGGGGGTGCCGGGCAGATGAAGGCTTTTGCCCACCTTCGGATGTGGAGGAGCATTCTCGCTTCACCAGCACAAGGAGCGGGGACCCATGCAGTGGCTTGTGCAGAGTGGGCGAAGTAATAGCACGTGCTCCTGGACGGAGGAATGCCCATGCTTGCTTTGCTTTCGTTGGTTCGTGGACTCAGAAAGCCACCGAGGGTGTGGCCACTGGCTCTGCTGACCCAGGAGCCTGCCGTTAGCAGCCTGCGCCCACCTCGGCTCGGGTTTTGCCACTCACCTTCACCACCCTGCAGGTGTGGACACCATGGCCAGCTACGAGGAGGTCCTGCACCTCCTGCGCTATCGGAATTGGCATACCAGATCCCTGCTTGACCGGAAGTTCAAGCTCATTTGCTCAGAGCTAAATGGTCGTTACCTCAGCAATGAATTCAAGGTGGAGGTGAGTCCAGGGTGCCCACCCAGAAGGCCAACAGTAAAGTAGTCAAGCGTTCTGACCCTTGGTCCCAAGGCTCCAGACATCCGTGGTGGCGAATGTCCGCATTGTGGTCTGCTGCCGGGTAGACATTCAGGCTTGGGGACCTTGGAGGGCAGAGTGAGTGACAGAGAATATGGGGAGAGTGGGGAGGGACAGGGTCGTTCCTTGGGTTCTGTGTGTGAGAGAGCCCCCAGGGAGGTCTTCCTAGCTGAGCCAGATCACTGTGAGGTCACAGCGGCTGCAGGACAAGGCAGTCTGCTCCGACCCCTTCGGCACCTCCGCTGCAGCCGACTTTATCGCCACCCAGCCTGTCTGTAGTCTGGAGGAGTGAATTCAGTTGTTCCGAGCAGTCCACTGTATCCCCACCGTGACCTCAGTGGTGGGCAGAGACTAAATTTAGAATGCCAGTGAGTGTTTTACTTGAGCCAAAGGGTGGCTGGGGAGGAAAGCGACCAATGGCGATTTGTGCTGTCCGTGTCCAGGTGAGGGGGGGGTGCTGTGCCGAGCACTGGCCACGTGATCTGGGTTTGTTCTTTACGCTGATGTTTTCTTTTATAAACTCCACTGTGAATTAGACAAGTGCTGTTTCTGGGATGTGAGACAGGGTCACCGTGTGATAACACTGACAGCTTCTCACTTTTCTCTCTTTCTGGTCACTGGAGTAACCCTGCTTGCTCCTGGCCCGGAGCAGCACGGTGTTGCCAGTGGCTGACCCTGTTTACCTGTCAGGTACACGTTGGGCACCAGCCCTAGTGGCTCTTTCTCCGCTGCAGGTGAACGTGATCCACACAGCCAACCCCGTGGAACACACCAATCACATGGCTGCCCAGCCCCAGTTCGTCCACCCTGAGCACCGATCCTTCGTTGACCTGTCTGGTCACAACCTGGCCAGTCCCCACCCGTTTGCAGGTAGGACTGTGGGGATGAACGTGGGTCAGAATGCCATGGCATCCACACAGGGGCCAGATGGGTACCACGGCAAACCTGGCAGTAAGCGTGGCTCACAGCCACCGCCTGTCACTCAGAAGGAGGGTCATCCCAGGTGAGCCAAGCCAGGCTCACTGCTTCCTTCTAGTCTGTGGGGTCAGGCGAAACACTCGAGCACATTTATTTTGACCTAGAGTGGTTGAGGAGGCCGAGGGTGGGAAGGTTTTCTGGGCAAACAGTGTCACAAAAGCTGTGTCTGGTCTTCAAATCTCGTGGCAGTTGTCCCCAGCACGGCGACTGTTGTGATTGTGGTATGTGTCAGCTTCCTGGTTTTCATGATCATTCTGGGCGTGTTTCGGATCCGAGCCGCACATCAGCGATCGATGCGGGACCAGGACACCGGGAAGGAGAACGAGATGGACTGGGATGACTCTGCCTTGACCATCACCGTCAACCCCATGGAGGTAGGTGCTAAGGTCCCCAGACTGCAAAGCACCACAGAGACCCGTGTCGTGTGTACTGGGAGTTGGGCCTGTGAGGCTGGGGGAGTTGTCTCCAGACGAGGAAGCCCAGTCAGAGACTGCGCTGACTAGCATAGCTAGTGTTCTCTGCTTCTCCACCCCACGATGTTCCTGGTGTGGCAGGACTAAGCTCCATCCCTCAGCAGCGAGCACTGCCCCTAGGGCACAGAACTGTTCCTGATGAGAGCTTCACTGTTGATCCCCATGCTGCTCTGGCCCTTAACACTGTAGGCTTGTTTCATTCTCTGTGGCTTCTAGAAGGTGGCCACCAGGGCCAGAAGCCAGACTTAGACCATCATCTCTTTGCCAGACATATGAGGACCAGCACAGCAGTGAGGAGGAGGAAGAGGAGGAGGAGGAAGAGGAGAGTGAGGACGGGGAAGAGGAGGAGGATATCACCAGTGCTGAGTCTGAGAGCAGCGAGGAGGAGGAAGGCGGCCCTGGGGGTGGCCAGAATGCCACCCGACAGCAGCAGCTGGAATGGGACGACTCCACGCTCACCTATTAGACATGTACCTCCGAACCTGCTCTCCAGAACTCTCTCCCAGCCCCACGGGTCCACGATGTACAAAATCATTTTGGCCAGCAGGTCTGCAGACCCCTCTCCCGTTGCTGAAGATCCACCTGCGCTTGGTGTGTGGGACCATAGGCTCTGCCCTCCGCCCTCCCTGCCCATCACTCTTGCAGTCTCTCTAGGAGCTGGCACTTCCTCCCAGCATGGGGACCCCATGGCACCCTGGAGTCCCCTGTCAGTAGGGGAGAGGACGCTAGCCCTTCAAGCCTCCAGAGAAGCTGCAGTGAGTGGACCTGTTGGCAAGAGGGTAAAAGCAGCTCCCACCCAGTAATCCTTCTTCTTTATTTTTAAAAGTTTTTATTTTTTTCCAAACTAGTGCATGTATAAAGTGGGAGAATGGGGGTGAATATGTAGATGACCAACTGACTTTTTAATATTTTGTAAATAAATTGGGATTCTTCGTGTCCTCCATGCTAGTGTAGTCCAGGACAGGAATGTGATAGGCCCAGGAGGAGCTCATCTCTCCTCCCTCCCTCCTCGCTACCTTCTACTTTCCTCCCCGGAAACCAAGATGGAGAGGTCCAAGTCACTGTGGCCCTTGCTGGGGTTTCTGTACAGCCACGTGGCCAGGTGCCATCGGCTTTGAGTGCTACCAGGGCAACCAGACCCAAGCACCCCCACCACGTTGGAGGCTGGAAACAGCCAGGACGTTGCCAAGGCCCCTGGTCTTGCACACTCCTGTGACTGTGGCCACTGGGCTGTGCAGCCTTGTGGCTTCGGCTGACTTATCTGTGTCTCCCTGATGGTGAAATCCTGCAGCTCATGGGAACGGACAGCAAAGGTGGTGGGCTCCTGAGCACGTCTGCACGACAGCACCCAAAAGGAGACCCTGAGGCCCAGAGACAAAGCGCTAGAATGTTCCAAAACAATCTGTTCTCTCTTCTCCCCACAGGCCCCATGGGATGCCCCTTGCTGTCAGGATGGGTGGGGTAAGACCTGAACCCCAGGAGCTGAGGGTCCTGCTGCTTGCCTTAGGGTGAGGCAGGAGGAGACAGCCGTGTAAACCTCCACAGCACTCAGCCTGCCCTCTACAACCAGTTAGACTGCTCCAGCCGGGGAATTGCCCTCGCTGCTAGTTCTGAGGATGCTGGCGGCTGTGCTGTCTGTGAAATCCACCCCCTGTTCTGTCCCTGTAGCTGCTTTCTTAGCTGGAAAGAGGCTGAAGAAGAGGCAGACATTCTCATGTGTTGGTAGTGCAGTATCCTTTTAAGATGTGTGTATATTGAAGCTAGGTCAGGAAGTGTACGCACTATAATAAAGTTCTGGTTCTAACTCTAGCCCGACTGGGGTCTATTCTGTCAAGAATTGGGGGGGGGGGGGCTGTTATTTTTGAGACAAGGTCTGCTACATAGCCCTGGCAGGCTGGCCTGGAACTTCCTATGTAGACCAAGCTGGTCTCAAAAAGCTCAACGCTGGTATTAAAAGGGTCCACCATACCAATGCCAGGATTTGCTGTGGGTTTTATGGTACTGAGGATGCACCCAGGCCTTGATGCATTTCAGGCTAGTGCTCTATCTACCACTGTCCTGTATCCCCAGACCCCCCCCCCGCTTTTTTTTGAGCCGAGAATGTAAGAACATAAAAAGGTTTTTATTTCTTTAAACCTGTCTTTACCTGTCACATCAAGGTTACAAACTGGTCTCAGCCACATCGGTGAAAGGAAGTCCACCTTCCCCTCAAAGAAACATGAAATGATTTAAAAAAATAGAAAATACTCTTCCGGCCAGGTACACAGACCGTGCACCCAACTCCAGAGTGCTGGGCGTGAGCAGGATCTGCACCACAGGAGGGGACACAGCTAGACTCTTTTCAATAAATAACATGGCACACAGACACACACAGACACAGATTTCCTATTCCAGAGTTGATTGGGAAGACTAAAGGCTCAGTGGGCGCTGCTGGAGCCTCAGCTCATCACCCTCATGAGGAAGCTGGCACCTAGGCTCCTTGAGCCATGTTCTGGGTGACACGGAGGTGATGGCTCTGCAGAACGCTACCGATACACATCAAGACGTGCTCAGGGCGGCATGTTGAGTACGTGCCGTGGCGCCGAGCTGTGCCCCTGGGTCAGTGGGCTCCACAGGTCAGTGCCTGGCTCCACCACCATGGGTTTGGAGGCCTAGGAGGAGGCTCAGACCTGCACTTCTAGAGTCGCTCTGAATGCCAGGACCACTTTGAATTTAGCCTCGCCCTTGCTCATACCTCAGAACCTGGCTCCCCGAAAGGCAGCTCTGGGAGAGATGGGTCCCGTCCTTTCCTAACTCCGCCTTCATGTGTGGCTCACATCCCACGCAGAGCACGCCCTTCTGCCTGGCCTTTGTCTTCATTCGTGACCGCACTGAGCTAAGTCAGGCACCAGTCTTGAGTGTTTCAAGGTCTGGCACGGGCTGTTGGTAGTGGAGGCCAAGTGCTTCACCCCAGCCTTAGAGGTTCTCTGCATCATTTGGCTATCACGCTTTCTTACCCGCAAACAAAAGGTGAGGGTGGCCCATACCCAAGAGGTCACTTGAGCACTGCAGAACAAGTGTGCCTGAGTCTGGACGGTGCCCTGGCTTCCTCAGGAGCTGCCGGAGGCTTGGTTGGTGGAGGTCGCCAGGGCGGGCCACCCAAGGCGGCGGAGGTGAGCTGAGGACCGAGGTGGCCTGTCTGGGTGGGAGGCACCAGGTGACTGCCAGCCTTGATCCAGGCAGCCCTCTAGGAGCCTGGGAAGAAAGCCCCAAGAGCTGTCTTCGCTGGGCCAAGAGCCACAAGTTGGAAGACTGGGTTACAATCCTCAAGGTGCTGCTTACAGTGCGGACTTGGGGTGGGGGTGTCTCGAGGACAGCGTCTCCTTCCCCGGCACCAAGATGCATTTCTGCTATGGCTGTTCTGTTCCTTAAACATTTTGAGTCATAAATAAATAGCGAGTGTAAACAAGAGACGGTTGTGTGGTTCTTCCCTATGAGGAACAGGGCAGGCTTTGGGGCCCCTTTGACCCCCGGGTGTGCCTGGTCCCCAGCACCGACAGTTTACCTCTAGGGCTGAGAGCCGGAGGGAACTACCGTGCGGCGGCCGGAGGGCCCCTTACTGCCTGTTGTCCTTGGACACATTGTGTGCCAGCCAGTTGACTTTGGTTTTCCAGCTTTCCCGCAGAGCTTCGTTGAACTTCACCCGGAAGTGCTTTAGCGCTTCTTCCTCCGTCTTCCCTAGCGCCAGAGAGTCCTGGACAGACAGCACAGCAGGGCTACATTGAGGGACCCTGCTCTCCCTGTTGCACAACCGAAGCCTAGTGGGATGTTAAGTTCTTTATTCAGAGCCCCAAACCCAGGTGGCCCACCCAAGGCCTCAGATTTAAGCCGGAAGCCTTGAAGTGACATGGCTTTGAGGGATGCCCCTGGCTCGGTCTGTGGCCTGTCACCACCTCACTCTGCTCCACTCATCACAAACTGAAATGTGGGGAAGGAAGCATCTATACAATGTATTGCACAGGAGTGTGCGTGAGAGAAGACTCCTGTGAGGGCTGCCACCCAGCACATCTAGGCCCAGTGAACTTCACTGCTCTGATTACTTCCCACCAGCCCCCACTGCTAGGGCAGGAATGGCATGAGGACCCCACCAAATGGGGGCCCTCTAGGACCCAGACTGCCAGGCAGGCCTTGGAAAGTGTATGGCCCTGGGGCAGGCCCTGACTGATGTGGGATCCCTGGGCAGGAGGTCGGGGAGTATCTAAGAAAGCAGGCTGAGCAGGCCAAGTGCAACAAGCCGTAGCTTCCACTCCGGTGCCTGCCCTTGCCTTCCCTTCATGATAGACTTCAACTGCAAGCTGAAACAAACCCTTGTCTGCCCAAGTTGCTCTTGAGGGTCCCTCACTAGGTCACTTGCCTTGAGATACTGGATATCTTTGGAGCAGCTAAGCTCAGGCAGACCTGCAGCACGCATCAGGGCAAAGAGATGGAGGAAGAGCAGCCCATGGCGCCGCAGGATGGTGTAGGCTCGTTCACAGTAGCCACGGAACCTGCAGGGGAGGGAGGGGGGCAGGGGAGGTTGGTCCTGGGGTCTCCCTGCTCCCCTCAGCCCAAGGCCAATGGACCTGTCTGCACCTTCTCCTGAACTGTGGCTTCGGTGATGGTTATACCCAAGCCTCTAGTTCCTCGGGCTGACCTCACCCTGCCTCTTACAGGAGACACACACACACACACACACACCCCACACCCCACAAACCCTTTTCACACCGCCATGGCCCAAGGGGGTCATCCATTCCAATCCACAAGCAATCCAGGGGAGGAGGCCAGAGTAGGGCCGGCAGCTGCCTCCCTCCTTTCCCCTCACCCAGGGTCCCCGGGTCCGGGCAGATCAGAGGCAGTGCCCCACCTTTCAAACTTCTCACTGTTGTTAGTCTTCCCCTGCTGGATCACGTGGACAAAGTCATACGTGAGAATGAAGGGGACGCGCTCACGGTTGATCCCAAACTTGGTCTTGAAGTTCCCCAGAAAGTGGCCGAAATCAATGTGGAACAGCTGACAGGGAGGAAAAGGGAGGGAATGGGAAGCCAGGAAGGAGGGGCCGTGGGTGTGGCACGGGAGTGGAGCCCTGGCCAGTGTGAGCAGGACTCAAACCCCAGGAACCCCAGGAGGAGGCAAAAGATGCAGCGGAGAACAGGGAGCTTCCGTTCTTGAGAGTTCCAGGGAGAGAAGACACTAGCTGGGCTTCCGGAATTGCCTGGAGTACCAAACTCGGGGCAGAGGCACCAGCAGGCCAGACTGGAGGTCAGCCCCGCGGGGAAGCCACCCACCCGTGCCCCCTACCTGCCCACTCTCTCGAATCATGATGTTGTCGCTGTGTCGGTCGCCAATGCCCAGCACGTACGTGGCCACACAGTAGCCAGCACAAGAGAGGGTGAATTCCTCGATGGCCCGATCCAGGGCCTCCCTGAGTGAGGAGGACGGAAGGTCAAGGCCACTCCATACGGAAGCTCTTTCGACCAGTCTCTTTCCTCCTCTTCCTCTTGAGTCCAGCCTTTCAGCTTGCTTTACAGAACGTACACTGTTCCAGACCTTAGGCCCGGGATACCTCCCTGATCTTGAACCTGTCCCCCACTGCCCATAAGCACCGTGGGAAGAGGCCAAGTCTGGCCTACACGAGGCCAGGAGGAGAGGAAAGGCTGCCAAGGCAATGCCGAGGCTCCAGGCTTTCACTGGACTCCATCTTAGACCCTCCCGGGTTGGGAAAAGTCCCGGATGACTTGCGTTATCTCAGGCAAGACACGTACACTATCCTAGGTAGCCCACTCGAGCTTGAGAAAGGCGAATACCTAAGGCCGTATGTAAGCTTTGGTACGACGCAGGCGTCAGCAACCGACACACCGCAACCGCCTTGGCGAATGAGATCCAGGCTGGCCCCACAGCTGAGCCAACTGGTCACAGCCCTTCCTCTTACCTCATCTCTGCCAGGACAACCCTCCCCACACACCTCCCAGGAGGGAGAAGGCCTGACACCTACCCAGGGTTCTTAGATCTGAGCCAGTTGAGCAGGGCATCCTTGTTGAAGGCGGCCGTGGCTGCCATGTTGCTCTTGTTCAGCTGGATGTTGGCAATGGTGTCCGAGTGAAGCACCACCTCGATGAGGCCCGTGCGGTCTCCGGTGGGGAGGCAGCCATAGGGGGTCATCCTAGATGAAGGGAGGGGGGACGGCAAGATGTCGTGAGGGAAGGCCGTCCCTGGGGGGACATGGGGAATCGCCACAGGGGATGCCACACACAAGGCAGTGAGGAGGAGAGGAAGGATGAAGGACTCAGAGGCTCCAGCACTGGCACCCAAGATGGTGAGTGTGTGGGAGAATATGCTGCTGCTTCCTGAGATGGCTAGGAGGCCAGGAAATGCAGGAGGGAGCAAGGCCGATGCTCGATGCCTTCCCCACCCGCTCCCAACTCTCCTCTCCCTGTCTTGAGAACAGCCCTTTCCCAACTGACACAGTGACAGTAGCTTTGATCCCTTTGAAAGCACAGACTCTAAGGGCTGGCCCAGAAGTGAAACAGTTGCAGGATGGGCCCCCACCTCAGGTCCAGGCCCTCCTGCTTCCACAGGACGTCCATGAGCTGGATCATCTGCAGGGTCAGCATATCCTGGCGAAGGTCTGTAGAGTGGAAGGGAGACCACAAGCGGAGGCTCTGCATTCCCGCTGCGGGCCAGCCCTTAGGCCCCAGGGCCACCCCCTCAGGATAGCACTCGGCCTGCCTGCTCACCATCCCCGTTCTTAAAGATGATGCCCACGCTGCCAGCGCTGCCCGCCTCCTCGCTGCTGTACATGATCCACAGCGGCTTCATCTTGGAGTCCATGAAGGTGCACTGCTCCACACTGCCGGCCAGAGAGTGGGGTCGGCAGGCGCTCCTCCTCCGTGGGCCAGAAGGGTGGGAGGAGCCCCGTGGGGCCAGGCATGGGGCTCACCAGACTTCCTCCAGCAGGGTGCTGGGGTCAAGCGGAGACTGCAGATGGGACAGGGCCTCCATGTAGGTCTCCTGCCGCATGCATATGTGCATCAGCTCCTTGGTCTGGGGCTTGGTGGTCTTCTGAGAGCTCACCTTCACGAAGTCATTCAGCGCCTTAAGCTTGCTCAGTGCTTCCCCCTGGTGGTGATGGTGAGAAAGGCAGCGGTGGGCGCCAGCCACAGGTGGGAGGAGCCGGGCCGGTGGGGACAGCATTCTGAAGCCTGTAAGCAGAGCCTGGCCAAGCTTTACCTGCTTCATCAGCACCTTCATGTGGTGAGTGCTGCCTCTGCAGTAGGCTTCCATGATGAGGCCAAAGCGCAGGGCCACTGATGGTACATGCATCTCAGAGCTGGGGGGAAGATGGTACTGAGTCTTGCCTACCAGGGCCACGCATGCCCTCCCCAGCCCGGGGGGGACCCAGGATGCCGGAGCATCTGAGCCTGCTAGAAACATGAGCCCAGCCAGCCTGAGGTCCCCCTTCCCTGCGGCCCTAAGGAGTTTCCAAGGAACAGGCTGGGGTGAGCTCAGCTACCGAAGGTGCCAGAAGAGGAAGTGGCCGATCTTGCGGTTGGCCAGGGCTCGGTCCAGCAAGAATTTGGTCAACTCGCAGTCCAGGTAGGACTCGTATTTGAGCACTTGCACCAGCTGCAGGAGGTACTGGAGAAGCTCGCCATCCCTGCAGGAGGGAAAGTGAAAGGCCTACAGCTGGCAGGTGGCAGAAGCGGAGGCAGAGGACAGGCTCACCCCAACCCAGCACGCTCTTCTGGGTGGTGGGGGCAAAGCTGCCTTCTGGAAGAGCAGGGAGTCTGCGGGCCCCAGAGGGCACACCCAGCCGGGACTCACGTCAGCTTCCGCAGGGACTTGATGGCGAAGGAGCCCACGTAGGAGTCGGGGAAGCTGAAGTCCAGCAGCTCTAGGGCGCTCAGCACAGGCAGCTCGGGCCAGGAGCACAGCAAATAGAGCATCTGGGGCAGCTTGGTGGTCAGGTGGGGGCCGGTGGGCAGCAACTGTCCATCTGCCCCTGGCTCCTCTCACAAACTCCCCTCCCTACTCACCTGGGCCACATCCTCATGTTTATTCCACTTGGTGACCAGCAGCAGGCGGGCCAGCGCCTCTGGGAAGTGCTCCTGGACCTCATGGCGCATCTTCCACATCAGGTCCTTCTCGTGTTCGTACAGCTCCCCAGACCCCCGCTTCTCCAGGATCTCCCGCAGCTGCAGCTGCTGAGGGGCACGGACAGGCTGAGGCCTCCAGCCCCGTACCCGGCTCTGGCTCCCCATTCCCAGGACCTGAGCTCACCTCCTCCTCCGTGATGCGCCCGCGCTCCCCGTGACGCCCCAGCTCCAGGATCTGCAACACGTGTCAGGCCCTCAGTGTCCTGGGCATGGGCAGCCCCGCAGCACCCCAGGACATCTACAACCAGACCTAGCACCTGCCAGTCACGCTGTTGGAAACCGTCTTAAGCATTCCCTAGCCTTTCCTTTACCTGTTACCAAGGTAGGTACCAGAACACGCCAGGAGCATCCTTCCCACACCAGACATTACCCAATGGCAGCTCAAATGGCACACAGAAACCCCGAGTTAGCATAATGCATATACTCTAGACAAATCCCAGGGTGGCCAGGTCTACTCTCCAAAGAACTGCAGACTGGGAAAAGTCTAGAACTGTGGGTCGCCATCCCCCCTTCTTTGGGGGTCAAATGAGCCTTTCACATTGTTCGCCTAAGACCATCAGAAAACACGTATTTGCATTATGATTCGTAATGACGGCGAAATTATGAAGTGGCAACAGAAATAATTGTACGGTTGGGGTCACCACGACAGGAGGAACTGTATTAGAGGGTCGCAGCAGTAGAGAGGCTGAGAACCCCCGGCTAACAGGACAGGGTCTTCACCGACCTTCTCCAGGGCAGGGAAGTAGACAGGATGGGCGGCCACCTCAGGCAGGAAGATGACCAGGGCAGCAGCGCTCTCCGTGTTGGGGTTACTGCGCACGGTGCCCGCAGGATTCAGCAGCTCTCCTTTGTCATCTGAACACAGGGACGGTAGGGTTGTATGTGTCCAGTCACGTGCTCTGAGACCTCTACCCCTGCTGGCTGCTCCCCTGGGGGTGGCCCACCTGGGACAGAGGGCCACATGTAGAGGCGGCGCTCCCCGGTCTTGAGCTGGTCTTTGTAGTCGAATAGCATGAGGTTGACCCAGGCAATGGGGCAGTCCTAGGAAAGGACACCGGTGGGTTAGGGCCACTCACAAAAGCCCCCTTTTGCTGGTCTCAGAATAGAACTAACCAGAAGGCCAAGTAGGGGAGGGGATCTGGGCTTCAAGAGAGGACTCCCAGATAGACTCAAGGGAAGACAAGAGGAGGGTCCAACTGCCTCATCCTAGTGACAAAACCAGCAAGGCCTAGAACCAGGAGCCACTCACAGCACCTGGCTCAGCTCCCAGTGTGCATCAGCAAGGCAAGGGTCACTTTAGGTATATGAATGCCATCTTCATGCACACCAAAGAGGGTATCAGATCCTGTTACAGAGGGTGCTGAGCCACCATGTGGTTGCTGGGAATTGAACTCAGGACCTCTGGAAGAGCAGCCAGCACTCTTTACCGCTAAGCCATCTCTCCAGCCCACAAGGGTCACTTCAAGTACTAGAACTGGTGACTAGTGGCCCAGCCTCTCAAGGCAACAGCTGGCTCAAGCCCTTTAATCCCCCTGAGGACAGTTTCTCTCCAGGGAGCTGCTGGTCAGAGCCCACTGGATGGACCACAGGTGGCCAGCAGATAACACCAAGCTAGAGGGGAAGGGACCCAGACTATGATGGTGGCAAGGCTTGGTGGCAAGGCCCCCTTCCTCAGCCTGTGTGCCCATGGGGCCCAGAGGGAGGCCTAGGCCGCGCTCCCAGCCAGCCCTACACACCGCCTTCTTGGACTTTTTCTTGGTGGACTTCTTCTTAGCCTTCTCCACGACGGCATAGAGGGCAAAGCAGAGGCGGGCCATGCGCGGCAGGTCACAGATGCTGATGTCGAACTCAAGTCGCTGCTTCCACACGGGCTCTGAGCTCACGCTCACCTCGGAGCTGGATACCGTCTTACACAGCATCTCGTTGCCATGGAAGAGCCCGGCCTGCACAACCAGCTGGGGGTGGGGGTGGGGTGGGGTGCCAGCGCAGAGTAAGGGGAGCAGGGGCCCTGGGCCCCAGCCCTCCCCTCCCCTCCCCTCAAATGTCTTCATTCTTAAGTGCGTCTGAATCTACTTCCTCGTGGGGCCGGGGAGGCCACAGACTGCACTGACAGCTGAAGGCACGTCCCTTCCCACTCCAGACCTCTGTCTCCACAACAGGACATGGTAATCCCGCAGCTCTAACATCCTAAGGATGCCTGCCCTAATTTGAATCTTACAGGCACCTTCCTGTCCAGGAGGCCCAGAAGCTGATCAGCCCAGACACAAGCACCTAGCCCTCCAAGCCTGTAAGATTATGGAGCTAGGAAAGGAAACCCAGGCTCTGTGCGGGCTCCCCATTCTACAACTGGAACCTGGGAGCAATTGTGAGGACAGAGGATGTCAAGGACTGAGTACGTCAGGCTCGTGAAAGAGCACGGGGCCCTACACTATCTTCTCAAGCCAGAGGAAGCCCAGACCCCAGGGGATGAGGCAGCTACCCAGTCCATGCTGCAGGCCTACCCTGGCCAGCTGCAGCGGGCTCTTCCTCACACCTCCCCAGACACCTCTTTCATTCCCCACAACCTCCACACCAAAGTCAAATACACAGAAATCGGCTCTGCCTGGTTTCCACGAATCGGTCTCTGGCTGGCCGGCCCACCCCACTCCCCTCTTCCTGTTTTGAAGCGGCTCACAACCACTCCAGGCAGGGATGCTGGGTAATGTGGTCAGGTGGCTTTCGTGTGACATCTTCCCACTCTGCTTCCGCTGCCCCCCCTCCTGGCCACAGCTGCCTTGTTTGTGTAGAAAACAGTGGGCCCCTCACCTGGCCCTGGAGCCCCTACCTTCATCCGCTCATCTGCATTCACTTTGCTGCCCTGGATCAGCTCAATGGAGAACGGCTGCTCCAGGGACCACAGGGACACAGAGGAGGGCTGGGGAAGGAGGCAGGCAGGGTTGGTGGCAAGGCTGGGACACCTGTCCCCAACACTCTATCAGAAAGCCTGTTGTGCAGACACACAAGGGTCCCCATGCCCCTAACATCCACAAGCAGACAATGGGGGCTGCCCCGAAGTCCACACAGATCCCAACAGAATACTGGTCACTCATCACCAGGGACCCCTGAACCCATGGCCCTCCTGGTCTGCATCCCAGCAGACTGCGATCACTCTCACCTTCTTAGCAGGGATGGGGGGAGGTTTGGCGCGTGGTTTCTGGACTTGGGGGGCAGGGTTGCTCTGCTCATCCCGCATGGCAAGGATAGAGGAGGAGTGGACCATGGTCAGGTGGGGGGTTAGTCCACTGTGCAGGCAGCTGCAGATGTACTGGGACAGAGGTGCAGGGTGAGCTGCTGGTAGGCGGCACCCGCTCATTCCCTGGACAGCTGGCTCCCAGGAATCCCCCCCCCAAGCCAATACTGCCTGTGCCACCTCTCAGGAGAGGCCTCCTGATGCTTCTCCCTAAAGATGGGGTCCTGCCCTGTGCTCAGGGACCAGTTCAGCAGGGATGCTCTCATGGTGGCCACAAAGGCCTGCCTCCTCGGACTCAAGAGTGGCCCTGAGTCCAGCTGCCCTTGGTGCTGGGGGCCACATGCGGGTGGTAAGGAGCGCCCTACAGAGGGCTCACCTGAAACTGGCAGAGCGGGTAGCTGCCATAGAGGTACTCGTGCCTCCCGTTCACCTGCAGGGCGTAGTCCTCGGGCTGGTCCACCAGAGGCTGCCGGAACACTGTGGCCTTCTTCCGGAGGGCACAGGCCATCAGCGCCAGGGGCATGTCCTGGGTGGATACCTGCAAGGTGAAGCTGTCCTGTAGGGAGAAGGGTGTCAGCCTCCTGCTCTGCAGGGCCTGTGGTTTCTGGGGCACGGAGGCGGGGCTGCCTGTGAGAGGGCTCCCATCTCCAAACCATGCCTCAGTGTTTACTAATCAAGGCATGCAACCAGCACCCAGGAAACACGGGGAGGCAAGGCGGGAGAGAGGGAGGGAAAAGAGGAAAAAGTGGATGACGCCCTTGGGTCTCTGCTCTGTCAATCTGCCTGGTGAGGGGCAGTCCTTCTCGAGTGTTTACTGCTCTGGAAGAGGACCTGGGTTTGGTTCCCAGCACCCACATGGTGGCTCACAACCAGCTCTACCTCCAGTCCTAAGGGATCTGACCTCCTCTTCTACCTCTGTAAGTACCAGACATGCATGAGGTCACTAACATTACACATATGTAGGCAAAATATTCATATACATAATAACGTAAAATAAAATAAAAATCCAAACTTGCCTGGTGAGACAACTGGCTGAGCCCTCTGGCATGCAGGGGGACCTGGCAAACGCCCTCTTATGCTACCGGGAGAAGGAACTGGGGCTTTGCATGGTTGGAGAGTTTTACAAGAGAAGGTCCCTCATGGGCAAGACAGGCTGGATGAAGCAGCGAGGCCAGCATCGCTAGGGTCAAGAAGCGGTGAGCTCACCTCACTACCCTCGAATTTCACGTTAACCAGCAGCGCTCGGTTGGCGACACGCAGCATGCCCGCCCGCCAGCTCCTCGCTGAGGGCTCCAGCTGCAGGGGGAAGCTATACTGCAGCCATTCCTCCCAGCCCAGCTGCTGGCGGTGAGCCGCGGCCTCTTCACAGAACTGGCGCATCTTAGTGCGGAAGTCATTCACTTCCGGGTCCCGCAGGGAATCAAACTCGTGGAGACCTTTTGGGGAGGCGGGAGGAGATCAGCACGGTGCCAGGACGCGGGGGCGGCCTGGCCGACTCCCGCCCGCGCGCACGCGCACCTTTGCCGATGAGGAGGCTGATCTGAGAGTTGACCAGCTTCTTCACGCGGTCACCCTCTCGGGCCACCAGGCGCAGCACGGGCAGGAAGGGCTGGATGTCACACAGCCTCCGCTGCTCATCCTCCAACTCCTGCTGCTCCGCTGTCTGGTTCACGCAGGTGAACACGTATGCCTCGGGGTCACTGAGCATGTGGAAGAGCGGCTCGTACTGGGCACGGTGCCACAGCACCTGGGAGAGAGGGGCGCAGTCAGCCCACAGAGGGCAGAGGGAGATCCCAAGACACAAAAATTCTCACACCTAAGAGTAACCAGGTCGATAAACTTCTGGTCTCTGCCCTCTGTGCAAGGTGTAGGGGTTTTGCTGAGACTGGGGGCGGGTCCTCTGTCTCCTCCGTGGGTTCCTGGATGACCTTTGACACCCATCCAGATGATCAGTGGATGGCCTCAGCTCATCCTTTGGTACTCAGCCACGGCACGAGTACCAAAACGGAATATAAAGCTTAGAGCCAAGATCAAGTGTCAATGCCCATTCAGAGAGAGAAAATTAAAATTAAAATTAAAAAGATACAGGGAACTGGAGGGATGGCTCTGAGGTCAACAGCCCTTGCTGCTCTTGCAGAGGACCTGGCTTCAGTTCCCAGCACCCACATGGCCGCTCACAGCCCCCTGTCACCCCAGTTTCAGGAGACCCAACACCCTCTACCGGCCTCTGCCAGCACCAGGCACACACAGGGGACACATACATACAGGCTGGCAAAACACACACACAGTTTTTAAAAATCTTTAAAAATGAGAGAGATAAAAAGTTCGTCGTCAGAGTTCTCCCAAGACTCAAAGCGCAGGTACAGAACGAGCTGGGGGCCCAGTGAGACGCAGGGAGGGTACACACGCTGGCCACCGAGCCTGAGAGCCTGCGCTTGAGCCGCAGAACCCACAGGATAGGGGATGCTGGATTCCTCCAAGCTGTACTCTCACATCCCAGTGTACCCCGTGGCAAACACGTGCTCACACATCAAGAGACACACAAGTAAACATACGAATGTAAAATCTTTAGTTGAAAAACAAAACCAGGAACCAACTTTGGTGTTGCCCGTACTGTCTCCTCTGGCTCAGTCACAGGCAGTTTTCTCTCCTTCCTGTCTTCAAGTATCTTGTTTATTTATGGTGCTGGACATAGGACATATGTACTGGCCCAAATGCGCAGGTCACAGGGCAATTTAGGAGTTGCTTCTCTCCTTCCACCTGTGGTTTCTGGAATCAAACTCGGGCTGTTGGGCGCCCATACCTGCTGAGCCATCTCACCAGCCTGCCTGCCTGCCTGCCTTTCCTTTTGTGAGACAGGAGCCCAGGATGGCCTTGAACTCACTGTGTAGCTGAAGATGACCCAGAACTTTGGAACCACCAGTCTCCCAGGGCCAGGGTCATGGCTGTGTGTCACCACACCCCTGACCATACACAGCTTACTGCGTGCTGGGAATTGAACCCAGGGTAGATACATTTTAGGCAAGCTCCTTCTTAACTAAGGTATAGCCCCAATCTCCTTTTTCTTCTTTTCCTAGATTTTAATGTGTCTATATTGTTTTCGTAGTGGAAAAAAGTCAATATTAAAGTAAATCTTTTGGGGGGAGATCATAGAGATGACCCTTGCTTTTACGGTTACCTTTCCTGTTTCCGTTTATGGCTTTTAAAATTCTGAGGTAGGCTCTCGGCCTTTGGCAGCTCAAAACATAACCCAGCAAATCCCACACTTAGTGGGTTGCACAAGCCCTGCCCAAGTCACAAACAGAAACTACTAAATGCCATCCAGATGTGTATAAACCTCTGACTTAGTTAATCACCCTGAAAATAATTCAATAAACCCAAACCTCTTTCTAACGATGGTGTTTACTGTCGTGGTGACAGTTCTAAAGGCAAACAAGCTACTAGGCCCTTGTGCTGTGGATAGAGCAGTTCCAAAAATGATCACAGAGTCCTGGGTGGGATGAGCGCCCAGTGAGAGGCAGCCTCAGAGCTGGCTGGCAACCTAGTAAGCTAGCGAAGGGAAATGCACACTGCTAAAGGGGAAGCTGACTTGGGAATGATAAGTGAGCTTTAACCACAAGTTTTTAAACAATTCTTAGAAATTCTATCTGGTAAAATTTACATCAAAGGGCTGACCATAACAGCTCAGTAGGTAATGTGCCTGCTCTGCCAGCCTAGAGACCAGAGTCAATCCCGCAGAAGCCACATTTAAAGGGGGAGAGGGGCTGGGAAGATGACTCATGGTTAAGAGCACTGCAGATCTCCCAGAGGACCTGGGTTTCGTTCCCAGCACCCATATGGCAGCTCAAACCCGTCTGTAGCTTCAGTTTCAGGGGATCCAAAGCTCTGTCCTGGCCCCTGGTGGACACCAGACACACACACGGTGGATGCCCACACGCATAAAATCAACACGAGTAAATCTTAAAACAAGACGCTGAATATGAAACTTTGTAATTCCGGTGTGGAAGGGGCCAGCCAGTCTATCCTACTCCACTGAGATCCTGTGTCAAAAGAAAACAAGCAACAAGGCGTAGAGGCACCTGAGAAGTGACAGCGTACCAGCACGGTTACACGCAGGGAGTCTGTGTCTGCGTGAGACCCGGCCTCAACATGAAGGCCGTACCTGTTTGATGGTGCTGAGGTTGGCATTGCGGGACACCTGGAAGTTCAGGTAGACCCCCGTGGGCAGCAGGAAGTCAACAGCCACGCTCTGGCTCTCCTCTTTGGTCCAGAACTCCATGGGGCAGTCCACCCCAGGGGGCATCCTGCTGCGTTACTTCTCTGGGGCCCCTTCTCCTGAGGGAAAGGCAAAGGCACAATGAGCTGGAGTTTGCAAAGCAGGATGGCCAGATCTGGGCCACAGCAGGACACGCAAAGTTCGCCACACACGACCATCCTCCCTAGGTGGCGCGGGACACCCACCAGCTCTGCTGCCCTCTAGGCTGAGGTGCTCTCATCACAGGTGGACATGCCATGGGCCAAAAGACTGTACTGTGGCCAACAGATGGCCCAGAAGGGGAACAAGAAGAGTGGGCAGACAATTGAGAACTGAAAACAAAAGTCTGCTGTTCTTAGAAACTTTCTAGACAGAAACCAATTAGCTTAAAAGCAGCTTTGGCTAGCCAGGCACAGTGGTGCCTGCTTACAATTCCAATACGTGGGAGGTGAAAGGCCAGCCTCAGCTACATAGTAAGTTCAAAACCAGCTTGGGTTCCATGAGATCTCACCTCTCTCTCTCTCTCTCTCTCTCACACACACACACACACACACACACACCACACTCACACACAGAGAATGGAAAAATGACTTTATCTAAGGACTTATGATATCTATCATGACAACCCTTCAGCTGTCCCCTGCCCCCTCCACACTACCACAGTAACAACAAAACATTACAGATGACAGGACACAGGGAGGTGTGCCACCCACACTCCAAGGCACCAACCCCCCCAGCTTCCCCTTCTAGGTCACCAACCACAACCTAGAATGCAGCCACTTAGCGTTTGCATGCATGCTTTCATGTTCTTATAACTAGTGCGTATCCAAACTCAATTCCTAGCGTTTTCTGTGTATTCTAAGCCCTCCCTGGCCGGTGAGTCTTTGCAGCCTCTGGCCGCACAGCACGACGGGATGCTGGCAGACCCAAGCTTGTGCAGGGCTCGTGCAAGTAACCTACGCTTCCGTGAGCTCACGGATGCAACAGCCACGTCATATCAAGAAACTCCTCGCCACGCCTTGGGCTTCCACATTCTTCCTGCTCCCCAAACCACACAGCCTGGGCCAGGGTAGGGATGGGGGTGCTACAGAGTTCCAGTCTAGGGCTCAGCAGTAAGTAGAAGGTTTACACAATCAAATCTGTTGCTTTTCATGGTTTACTATTTTTTTGTCACTACTTATGTGTTCTTTTTAAAATAGAGTCTCATTATGTAGGCCAGGCTGGCTTCAAACTCTGTGAGGCCTCAGCCTCCTGAATGCTGGGATTAAAGGAGTGCATTGCTGTGCCCAGACTACATTTATTCTAAAAACAAAACAAAACAAAACAAACCACTAGGCTGAGCGTGTGGTTCAGTTGGTAGAGTACTTGTCTACCACGCCACAAAGCTCTGCACTCAATAAACAAACTGGGTATGGCTTACAAATCTGTGATCCCAGCACATGGCAGGCAGAGACAGGAGGATCAGTGCTATCTTCTACTACATTGCAAGTTCAAGGCTAGCCTGGACTACATCAGACACTGTCCCCCCCCAAAAAAAAAAAAAAAAAGAGAAACCTGTGAGTTAGGGTGCATAGCTCAATGACAGAACACATGCTCAGCATGCTTGAGGCCCAGACTAAAGCCTGACACCGAAACAGAACATAAAATTCCCAGGCCTACCGCAAGGTCACATTCTCCTGGACACGTTCTGGATTTAAATGACCCATTCAGTCTATGAGATGCCCTTTAGCCGTGGTACCAACTGACCAGTCCTAGCTCACTGGACAGCAGCTGGCAGCTCCTCCACACATCATGCGTCCCCCGTGCCCCCCTGCTCTGGTAGCCACTTCCTCTGAGGGTGAAACCATGTCCTACTTGGGGTTCCTCTTTGGGAGGCCAAAGTTTCCCTTTTTCATTTAAAACTCGGGGGTGGCAGTCAGGAATCTGGGGATCACAGCTACAACGCTGAGCTTTCTTTCCGGCGCATGCCGGTCATGTGACTGAAGAGGCGTGGGCTTCTGGGCCCCTACCCAAAGCTCTGGGTTTGCTTTCTTGCCCCTCGGCCCCGTGAAAAGGAACATTTCCTCTGCACATACCCAGCTGGTGGCCGAGAATTAAGTCTAAAATAACTTCATTCAACCATGGGGAAGGCTGCATGGTATGGCAAGCCCATCTTCAAGACCAGAGAACCGGGGGGGGGGGGGGAGGACCCCTTCTCTCTTCCCTGGAACAAGTCTAGAACCATCCCTTTCCAGCAGGATGTGACAGAGAGAGAGAAGCAGGTACAGAGCGTTTAGAGCTACCCCAAGAATGCACGCTGGTACAGCCACGGAGAAAACTGTAGGGCTCTCCTGGAGCAGAAGCAGAGCCTGCCTGTGCCCTGGGACCAAGCCAGCCATAGTCCCTGCCCGAGCACAGACTGGAGCACAGACACGTCAGAGAGTTTAAAGCACTGCACAGTCACCCACACGAGCACGTCTCGGGGGAAATCAGTGGCAGGATGCAAGCTTTCCTTCCCAGTTAACATTAGGCGACAGCGAGGACGAAGGAAGAATCTACGGATACGCAACGGATCTCGTGGACAGAAAGCTGAGCAACAGAGCCAGGCATGACAACAAATACACACGAGTTTGAGGCCCGCTGGGGACACAGGAGAGACATTGTCTCTAAAGCAAAGATATTTTCATGACCCAGGCTTGTCCTCTCATGGAGTTGTGGCCTCCGTCCCCACTTGCCGAGTACTAGGGTTGGCGGCATGCACAATCATTCTGGGTTTCTAAGACAACAGGGAGGGAACTGAAGCTTTCTCTCTTTTTTTGAATATTTTTTTTGGAGGGGGCTGAGATAGGGTTTCTCTGTGTAGCCTTCGCTGTCCTGTAGTCACTCTGAGTACCAGGCTGGCCTCGAACTCACAGCTATCCACTGCCTCTGCCTCTCTGAGTGCTGGGATTACAGGCCTGTGCCACATGTGCACTGATTTGTTTATTTATTTACTTTGATTTTTAATTAGCCGGAAGGCAGAGGTTGTATTGCGCACTCCCAGCCAGCCAGCCAGCCACCTCCCAGCCAGCTCTGCTTCCTCTTCCGGTCTGTCCATCTTCAATTGTATGCAACCTTCCACATGGGTTCCAGGGACCCCAAACTCAAGATGTCAGGCTTCCATGGGTCTCACACTTACCCCCTGCACCATCCCAGTGAGGTACCACTTGGTTTTTCTGCTCTGTCCCACAAAAAGCATCTTTTTCCATGAATGAAGCAGTGCCTTCTACTAGAAGACACTCTTCCTGTTCAGAAAGCCTTTTCCTTGCAGGTTGGCTGCCTCTGACAGCCAGTTCCTGCCCTCTGTGCTGCCATCAGGTGATAAGTCTGGAGGGCAACTCAAACAGCTTAGACAGAGGGTCAGTGAGGGCCAGGATTGTCCTGAGTCACTGGGGAGGTGTCATCGCAAGACAGAGTTAGCAATACCCGAATCTCAGGCATTCATCCTGGCTTCTCTGTCTGTACCTAAGCCATTCAGAACGTGTCTTCTAAGCTAACTTGTGCCACATGATCTACAAAATCAGCTACGGGACAGCACTGTGGCAGATCCAACAAACCTCTTACAAATTCTGAATGCTCCCAACTAGTTTTCTTCAGCACAAGGTGGACATGTAGGATCTGACTGAGTCTTAAAGGTCCAACAACGATGGGGCCTGAGGAGACGGCTTGGCCAGTAAACCACTTGCCCTACAAGCCTGAGAACCTGAGGCCTCCCCAGAACCCACATCAAAAGCTATGCACAGTGGCGTATGCTTGCAATACCAGAGCTGGCAACATGGGACAGCCGGAGACAGCGGTCCAGCTCACTGGTCATCTAGCGAAGCTTACCTGCAGGCCAGTGAGGGGCCAGGCCCATTTCAAACAGAAAGGTGGAAGTGTTCCTGAGGAATGAGACCAGAGACTGTCCTCTGACTTCTGCGTGCCTCTGTTGTACATGTGTGTGGACACACGCATAGATCCAAGAGAGAATTTTCTCCAAAGACTTTAACAGACATACCTGGGCTACCATCAGCATCCTGGAATGCTTCAGGGACCCTAGGAGACTTCAGAGAAGCCTGGAAGCAAGAAAAGCCCTGGGCTGGGAGCCCCACCAGCTGGAGTCTTGGTCCAAGCTCAGGGTTCCCCAGGAAGGTCCTTGCCTATCTTCTCAACCATCTCCCAGGACTCCCAGTGGCCACAATCTCTGGACTATTACACTCTACCTCTTTCTGGGGTCCATGCCAAATATGGCTGATTCTAACCGGGCCAGCTCCCTAGCCTTTGTCAACATAAAGGCAGCCTTTGGGGTCCTGCAGTCATGAGTCCCAGGGAATGGCCTCCTCTGGGAACACATGAGTCACTTTGGCAGGCTACACTGGGAACAGGCAACAAGACAAAGAGGGGAAGTTGTGTCCTGCTTCTCTGGATGATAATCATCTTTCTCCCCAAGGCCTGACATAGCTTTTTCCCCTGGGAAAGCTATGTCATGCTTCTTCAGTGCTCCTCCAAAGGGGGCGCAGAGTCACTCCAGAATAAGTGTAAAGGCTCCCCTGGGAGTCACCCCTACATTTCTGTGGAGACAGAACACTCATACTCAGAGCGCACAGATACACCATCTGTCCAAAGCCTGGCTTTCAGACTCAAAATGACAATTTAATTAGCCCAAGAGAGTCTGAGTCACAGAAACTTCCAGGAGGTGACTACGCATAGTGTAAGGGTCCATACACTCAGGCTGGCAGACCTGTGCCTGGCATCCATCTCCATAGTGAATGGAGAGGGCACCACTCAAAAGCATTTGCGGGGTAGATGAACAGTGAGCGGTGGTGGATTCTGAACTCGGCAGCTCCTACAAGGGACCTATTTGCAGGCGCCCCTCAACCTCAGGAAGCCCTTCAGATGAAGGCACTCATTTCCTCAGCTGAGATCGATCTATGAGGAAAACCAGCACAGGTGGGCACCTCAGGGGCAGAGTCCAAAGGGGTCTTACACAAAGGGTCACCTCACAGCAAGTCTCTGGGGACACTCCCCGAGAAAGAACATTCTTAAGACTGTGGATGCCAAGGAAAGCCCAAAGCCCCGGAAACCCTCAGAGGCCCTCAGAAAGGGGCTATGAAGAGCCATGCTGCTCAGCTCGTTTAGACATTTTCTTTTATGTGTCCAGCAGGAAGATGACAGGCATCAATCACCCTTGCTCTTAGGGAATTTGCAGTCTAGTGAAAGAAGACAAGAAATCAAAAGGAAATGGAATGAACAAGATGATTTCATAGAGCTGGCCTCAAACAAAGGAAGGACTTGCAGGGAGATGTGCTGTGGACGGAGGGTTGGGGCTAGGTCCTTAGGTAAGGCCACAAGGAAGTGAAGGTCCAGCAAAGATGGTTAAAACAGGGACTAGGAGGTGAGAATGTGGGAGGAACAAGTGCAAAGGTCCTGAGGCAGGAAACCGGGTGACTAGTGCTGGATCCTCAGGGTAAGGACCAGAAAAGGGGAGCGTAGCCCTTGCCCTGGCTTCCAGTTTAGTGCTGGATGGCTCCCTCCTGCCGGTGTGCCTACCACAAAGCCATCCAGCATTAGGTTTGGCCTAACCAACAACTGAGCAATTAAACCTTGGACTTTCAGCCCCCAACACTATGAACTGAATAAACATCTTTTCTTTGTAGGTGGCCTGCCACGGATATTTAGTTATAGTAACTGAAAACAAAACTTAACATAGTGTTGTTTTCCATCCATTCCTAAGACCCAAAGATAGCATTTGAAACACTGAAAGTCTTTTGGCAGGGGAGCCAAACAGACACAGTTTTACATTGTATCTATTTTGTTTTCAGTTTTCTTCTTGCTTTGCACCTAGGTTGACCTCTAGTCTCAGCCTGCTAAATTCTGAGGTACCTGCGTGATGCCTGGCTCATGTTCTTTGTTTTGGTTTGTTTTTTGTTTTTGTTTTTTTTTTCCTCACATTAGTGGAAGACTTTCTTCTGTCACTTTCTCAAAAAGAAAAAGGTATGTGTCATATTTTTGAAAATTTACATCTAAAAAAATGTCTTAAATGAACCAGGCATAATTTCAGACACCAAAGAAGCAGAAGCAGGAAGGTCATGAGTTCAAGGCCAGCCTGGGCTACATAGTGAACCCTGCCTCTAAAAACTAGGTACAGAGATGCACAGCTGTAATCCTAGCACTCAAGAAAAAGAGACAGAAGGGCTGCCCCATGCCCAAGGCTAAGTGAAATACATAGAGACTCCCAGACCAGCTAGAGTTATACAGTGAGACCCTTTTTCAAAAAGCCCAAACCAGAGGCAGGAGAGAGGGCTCAGTGGTTGAGAGTACCTGCTGTTCTTCCAGAGAACCAGAGTTTGGCTCCCAGAACCCACACTGACTGGGTGGCTCACAGCTACCTGCAACTTTAGCACCACTGGGATCTGAAGCCTCTGGCCTGGGCATTGTGCATGCATACACACACACACACACACACACACACACACACACACACACACACACA